ACTCCTAACTGCTCCCCTACCGGCCTAATCACCCCTAACTGCTCCCCTGCTGGCCTGATTGCCCCTAACTGCTCCCCTGCTGGCCTGATTGCCCCTAACTGCCTCTGCTTTGCCTCACACCCGGGACCCAGTATTCCCTCCTCCATGCTGTCACAGGCACCCGGGACATGGGTTTCCCTCCCTCTGGCCAGCCGCAGGCATCCAGGACCCAGACCAGCTTTGCCCGGGCCAGCAGCAGCCACAGGGGACCATGGGTGGGCAGCTTTGCCCAGGCTGCAGCTGCAGGCACCCGGGACCGCGGGTTGGGGGCTTGTCCCTCTCCCAGGCCACAGGCGCAGCCACTGGTGCCCGGGACAGCAGGAACCATGGGGCAGGCGGCTTGTCCCTCTCCCAGCCGCAGTCTCAGCCACTGGCGCCCAGGACCACAGGGCGTGCAGCTTGTCCCTCTCCCAGGCCGCAGGCACAGGCACAGCTGCTGGCACCTGGGACCATGGGGTGGGCAACTTGTCCCTCTCCCGGGCAGCAGCCCCAGCCACTGGTGTCCGAAACTATGGGGCATGCGGCTTGTCCCTCTCCTGGGCCATAGGTGCAGGTGCAGTCACAGCCACTGGCACCCAGGACTGCAGGGCGGGCGGTTTATCCCTCTCCTGGGCTGGAGCCTGGCTGGTTCCCATTCCTCTCTCTCCAGTGTTGAGTGTCTGAACCGTTACGGCATGAGGGTATGACAACCATTTGCATATTAGCTCTTTATTATATAGGATAAGAAAAATATTTTAAAATCCTTAAAAGAGAGAATATATGATATAAAAATAACAATTCAACAATAATCATGTGGATCTTTAGTTAACAAAGGCAGTGGGGAAACATAAAAGAATCCAAAATCCCCTCCTACAGAGAAGAGTCTTACGCTATTGCATCTTGCTTATTTAATTTTAATTTTTTTAAATTTATTTATTTTAATTCTCACCTGAGGATATGCTTTTCATTGATTCTAGAGAGAGTGGTAGAGAGAGGAAGAGAAAGAGAAACATTGATCAGTTGCCTCCTGCACACACCCCGACCAAGGATCAAACCCATAACCTTGGTATGTACTCTGACCTGGAATCAAACCCGTGACCCTTCAATGCACAGGACGGTGCTCTAACCACTGAAAAACACTTGCTAGGGCATTTTTCTTTTCTTTTTTTTTCTTTTTTTAAAATATATTTTATTGATTTTTTTACAGAGAGGAAGGGAGAGGAAGAGAGAGAAAGAAACATCAATGATGAGAGAAAATCATTGACCAGCTGCCTCCTGCATGCCCTCCACTGGGGATTGAGCTGCAACCTGGGCATGTGCCCTTGACTGGAATCAAATCTGAGACCCTTCAGTCAGCAGGCTGATGCTCTATCCACTGAGCCAAACCAGCCAGGGCTTAACTTCTTTTTAAAATTTAATAATTAAAAATCTTCAGATTCAGTGGTAATTTTAAACACTTTTTCAAGACCACGAACCTAAAATATGACATCAACCCTTCCAATCCCTGTGAGAGAAAAAAGCAAATAAAACAGAAACCATATGGCCAAAGACTGAAAACCAAGGGGTATGAAGATCATAAAAGGAGGCTAAAACAACAGGATAAGAATATTATCAAATATATCCATGATAACATAAAATATAAATTATCTAAATGCAACCTACTCTAAAAATCACTCTCACAGAGTTACAAAACAAAGAACTAGTACAGAGGGATCAAAAAAAAAGAAGTGGAGAGAAAAAGAGAGACTGCACGCATGCATTCACACATGCACACACACCTGTGCGCATGCACACACAGGTAGCAATACAAAATAAATAAATACCTTTTAAAAGAAAACTCACTCATGTTCTCCCTCAATGAGATCCCTACCAGTTCCTATTGAAAGGGTGACTAGAATATAAAAATACAGAAAAAATCTGCATCAGCACTGGAAACTAAAAATGAAGAGACCCACTCTGAAAAACATCCATAGATAAAGTGCAGAGAGGATGTATTGAAAAAAGAGCCAAATCCCAACTCATCTCATGTGTGAACATTCTCATGTGTTCCTGCACGTTAGTGAAAGAGAATCCAGCAGATTCCCACTAGGATTCTAATTAGAAGCAGCCAAGGCCAGACAGCAGGTAAGTCACACGTATAGGGAGCTTTGTAACTAGCACAGGGTATAATGGGGCCCAACAGGTAACTCTGGCAAGCATTTCTGACACTGGAAGCCACACCTCCAGGGGTTGTGTGGCAATATTCATGCCCAGTGTACCAAAGATTCGGGGAGCGCGGCCATGGCTGACTTTTCAAAAAATAGGCAAACCTGGGAAACACTAGGGGCCCTCCCCTAGAAATACTAGATGTCGCTGGGATCTGCGCAAAGAAACTTCAACCCTAAGGCAACAAACACTTCGTGAAATAGCCACCTTCAGTTCTGATGCTGCTTTCCTCCTCTCTACCCTGAGGCCACTGGAATCTGAAAGTTAAACTCATACTGTTGTTATTGACCTAGTTATTAATAACAGGAAAGGAGCAAAGGGGGAGGCCAAAAATGTAGGCATGTCATTTGGGCAGCTTTGCCAGAAAGCTGCAGCGTTACACGCCCCAGGGAACCACCGGTCCCTTTACTGCAGATACTGGGAAGGGTCTGGACAGGGAGGAGGATGGATGCATGTGCAGTTAAGTCTGGGTGACGCAGGGAGGGTACTTTGTCAGTCACACCTGAGAACAGGTCATTGGCCAGAATGGACACGGCCACTGTAAGGGTGAGAAATATGAGATATTGAATCCCCCAAACAAAGAGACTTGCTCTCTTGGTCCTCTGGGCACACTTGGCTCATGACTCACGCTTGGCTTCCGGGCATTCTCCCATGTGGCCCATGGCCAGGTGGACCCCCACACACAATGGACTAATGGGCTGTTAACTAGCCTGATGCAGAAGTGGACCCAGTTGCAACATGGACAGGAATCTCTGGACACTGGCTTTGCTTTTAGCGCTACTGGGACCTCAGCTACACTTCTTCTATGAATGGAATGGGACTTTGGAAACACAGGTATGTAATTCTACACAAATAAAAATCACTCATCCCCTCCTGTGAGACTCAGAAAATTCTTTTTCTCAAGATATCATAAGGACCCCACCTCCTCCAGCAGCCAGTGGGGAAGGTGACATCCCAGTTTCTTAAATAATAAAACCACAGTAAACCTAAACTTTTCTCTTCTGCCCTTTATCACCCTGAAAATTTAAGAGCACACACCACATAGAAGGCCTCTCTTTCCCCAAACCGGGCAAACCTTTGCTGCATCATCTCCTACTCTATTTAACAAATAGATGCTGGGGATGAAGTGAGAAACAAGATGCCATGGTCCCTACCACCATGAACCATACATACAGTATTAGTGAGAAAGGTATTATTAACAAGGGCAATAAAGATCACAGAGAGACAAAGAAGGAATAAACATCTTATGTAACAGGAGTAGTCTAGTTTGGGAAGCATAAGAACTTGTAACTGGAGGTTGTATTTAACATTTAAACTAAGAATGAAGTAAAAATCTATGTTGCCCCGATTAAGAATCAAAAAAGAAGAATTCCAGACCAAGAAAACGACCAGCAGTGGCCCTGAGATTAGAGTGAGTATAGCCTATTGGAGGTTAAGAAAGAAGAGCAGTGTGGCTGGACAGCGTGAGGAGTAGAGGGGGGAGGCTAACAAGGTAGGCAGAAGCAAATCTTGGAA